CTGTCGTGTTGCGTGACCCTGTGTTTGTGGCTGTCACCTGCATTCTCTTCTGTCCCTTGTTTGATGTGTTTAAGGCGGGGCATTGCTCAGACGCCCATAGAAAGCTGGCATCCCACCTCCATGCTGAATGTGGAGACACGGTGCTGTTTAGAAGTCATGTGTGTGTGTGAGCCAGGGCAGCGGGGCATGGGGAAGTCCTGCATACAGTAGTTACCCCAAACACATGTGCCCATACACTGCCTTCTGTGGGGACACTGACGTGAAGCAGGCGCAATCAAATTATGTCACAGTGTTTACAATGACAAGGCAGCGCGAGGATTGTCTTTGTATGAGTTTGTTTATGGAGCTTCAAAGCCCATCCCATGTGAGTGCAGTTAAACAGATGCCTCCTCTGGATAATTAGCAGATGGAGCTCTGCAGCTGGTGCTGAGTGAGGCTTTCTGCAGCCAAGAGGCAGCGAGGTGAATGTGAACCACAGAGAGGTCACATGCAGTACATGCAGTACATGTACATGTGCCCCAGGCCCCTGGGTCAGGCCTTAACACTGCTCTGCTGGGGGAGCAGGTGCAGAGCAGGTGGATACAGCTCACATTCATTAAATTTGACAAGTCAAATTGTCTTTTATTGAAGTGAAGAAGAAGCAGAGCAAAGATGAACCTGAAAAATTGAATTCTATATGTTTGTTTGATTCTATGTAGTGTGTCATATATTTCTGTAATTCATCTATGGGTTCCCTCATACTGTTAGAAACCAGCAGGAAACTCTACTGTATAATCTATAAAAGCTCTAAAGATCAGGCCTTTCTGTGTGGAGTTTGCATGTTCTCTCCGTGTCTAGGTTTCCTCCGGATGCTCCGGTTTCTCCTACCACTAAAAACATGCACAATAGGTATGAATGTAATGAGTGAGTGAATGGATGGTGTTGGATGGAGGCTTTGATGCCAGTGTCATCCCAGTGTGTGGAGAGAATGGAATAATTTCTGTACTCTGAAAATTGTAAAAGGTTTTGGGGTGGTGTTGGCCTGTAAAATGTGCTATATAAATAAACATTGCTTACAAAAAAAGGATAAAGAAAAAAGAACATGATGCAGAGGTAATTTAAGCTTCTTTACCATATGAAAATAGCATTAGGTGACAGTGTTACCAAACACAATTGTTCTTTCATTCATATAAAACAGTTAACAGTTTAGGTTAGCGCACCGAGTGTACAATTATATCTTCAATAACTTAAACTTTTGTTAATTCCGGTTTATAGACAGCATCGCTACTAGCATCACTGCATGAAACAAGACAATAACAGAGCACATGTGCCGTAGCAAACCTCACTTCCTGCTTTTAATTAACGGGTGCCAATGTACTTATTCATGTTCCACCTCTGTCCAAAACAATGTCTGGAAGTCGGTTGGAGTTATCATGGAAAACTACTGCTGCTTTTAGGATGTGATGGCTTTCCCAGGATTTGACTAAATTGATTTTCCAAAGACGAGGGTAATATCAGTATTGAAGAGAAAAACAGAAATAGGTGCAGAGTGAGGACTTCAGCACAGAGCGAGTAGTGGGAGGGAGGTGTGTGGTCAGAGAGTGTTTGGGCCTGTGTCTTGTTGTGTGCGTCAAGTGGGTGTGTTGTGTGTGATTGTGTTGAATGAGTATGAGGGGATGGAGCCAAATTTCAGTTTCTTTTTCAAACGGTTTATTTCTGTTTATTTTGTGTCTTGTTTATTGTTTTCTTTTGCATAACGTTCTGAAATAAATTCTTACTATAAAGATGTGGGGGTGGACACCAGCCTCATACGTTAAAAAAAATCCTGGGTGGCCTATTTTTCAGAGCCACCTATAGTAACATAGCCTGGCCTTACCCAGACGTTCACTGCATGTAACGTCTGGGTCTGGTCCCCATGTTAGCGATTACAATCGGTTAAATTTTGACCGAGCATTCAGAGAGCGCGGAAGGCAGATGTTGTAGTTAGTTGTGAGTGATGTCAAGAGTTTGCGTCGAACGGGAAGGTTGTAGTTTGGTAATGGCGAAAAATGCGATAGTAAAGTACTCCGGTCTGGTTCTATCAAGAAATTGAAGCCGGAGCAAGAGGAATGTATAGCAAATGTAATCGCTAGAAAAAATTGTGGCGCTACTCCCCACGGCTGATGGCTAGGCTAAATGCTAACAACAGACTTGGGCGCACAACATACGTCACGGTAAACTCAGATCCAATCGTTTCAATCTGTGAAAGGAGTTAACCCCTCCCACCTGTTAACGGAGCTCAATGGAGCACCTCCAGACCTTAGTACGAAATGTCATTTGTACTATGGTGTGGTACGACCAGGCTAATAGTAACATGCAACATTGAAAAACATGAAATCAAAAACGTCTTTGTTGCCGTATAAAAAAAGAAAATTAGAGCACAGTAATGGAAAGGGTAAATAAATAAGACTTATAGCACGCAGTCAGACCACATGTAATTCGGACACAGAGAAAGATATGGACCAGTTTTGCAATTCCAGTGTATAGAGAGACAAATTAAATACTGTTACAGAGACTTTGTATATTAACATGAAAAAACATAGTGGGTGTACAAAGTGGATGTGAAACTTGATAATACTGGTCTTTTCAGCTTGATTGTCTCTCCATGTTTTCCCTTTATCCTTTCATTTTCTCCTCCAAAACTCCGAGGGGTGGAGGCTATAGCGGTGTGGTGTGGGTGGGTAACCTGCCCAGCCATCCAATTTTTTTCCCCACCAAACTATTGAAACGGTCGTATGGTTGAGGAATTAGTTTGCAGTTGAGGAAAAAACATCCACATCTATCAGTCTGTTTACCACCATATTGTATTTTATACTGTATCTGTTTTAAAAGTGGCTTCCTTTGACTCGTGAGCGGTGCTTCTCAAATCCCCTGAACAGTTCGTTTAGTACAAGACTTTTTGGTAACATGCAAATAAGCCTTAGCATTTTTTGTGATTGAAAAAAGATAGCTTATTGTCAAAGTTTGTATTGCAGTTTGTGATAACACTAGTTGAAGTCTTATATAATGGGAACATTTTATTTCAGCTGAATTTAAAGCTGGGGTGCCTAACTTTTTTAATATAGAATAAAAATCCTACCAACAAGTTTCCGGGTCTAAACAATTTTGGTTCTATCACTATTAATCACTTGCATGTCATTTTGGCCTCTGACACCTGATAAGATCAGCTTGTTCAGACAAAAAAGTGAAAAAGAGAGGACCACCCTCACTCAGCCAATCACCTTCTAGTCCAAAGCATCAAATAGTGATTAACAGGGCTTTGTCTAACAAGTATGAAGAACATTTTCTACTGAGATAAAGGCAGTCTGATTTGCTCATAACATTTTATTTTTACCAAAGTCCTTCTGTTGTACACATTTGTGTGTATTAGTTGGGAATAACCTAGATGTAAATGTGTCACTCATTGCTTAGTTTTCTTGTATTTCTTGTATTTCCTCTAGTTCTGGAGGTTATGAAAAGTTCGAGAAGCACTGCCCTAGTCGCTGACAGCCAAACCCCTTTTCACACAAACATACGACTACAATCCACTTTGTTTCTCACCAAGAAGATACCTGGAGTTTGCACAATTTGCAGATAAATACTGTCTGAAGATGTCAACTGTCTCCTCGAATAGGAGAAGAGCACGAGAGCCTTGTCTGCAGGGCGTCTGTTTGACCTTACTCTGTTAAACCAACTTGTATATGCTATAAGTGTCATACCAGGCAGACACGGATACCCAGGCCTGCATCTTGTCCCCACTGATATTCTGCAGACCCCCTCAACCAGACATGTACAGAGGGGGCATCAAACAAACCACATTCGCACAGTTCCAGGATGGTGGGTGTCCCGACCAGAGAGCGCAATATATAGGAAATGAGCGTTGAACCAGTTCCTATGCCTCTTTTTGCTCCTGTCTCTCACATTTCCCGTTAGAACTGTTTTATATGCACCGAAAGCACTTAGTAGTCACGTTGTGTCCCAGCTGCGATGAGCACAAAGTCATTCCGCAGAGGGCATTTCAGTCCATCTCTGTCTATTTCCAACAATGTTCCAAAGGGAGTTCAGAATTGCACTATTTGCCCACAGTTCTTTGGCTATGCAGCTCCAGTCTGCACCCGGTCTGTCAGTTTAGGTTGGGGTGCTTTTTTTTCCCGCACCCTCCATCGTAAATCCTCAGATAGTTCTTTAGTTCTGTCTGACTCCGTGAGAGTTGGGTTAACAGTCATTAGTAGTGTTACTTTGGGAGATCTGGTGGGAGAGGTTACTGGCTGGCGAATAAACACTCTAGCAGGGGAGATGGGAAGCTGCATCTCTGGATGTGTTCCGCAAAGTTCGCCCGCCTGTAGGAAAAGCACATATAATAAATATTACCATGAGGAAGCTTTATATAAATACATTCTTAACCAAATCAATCACCAATTTACTTGGTGACCATCTTCTCAATTTTTCCTCTCATTAAAATATTAACAATTTCACACATGTCTCCACTGAGGGAACTCACCAGAACTAGCTTCTTTACACTTTTTTCTTTCTGTAAGAGCCTTCTTAGAGAGATAATGATGAAAGTATGTAAATATTTCAGAATTATTATCAGCATTGCTACTTCATTTCTTTTTTCATACTTCTGTATTTGTATGTATTCTCTATTGATTTTAGAAAATTTTTAGAAGAAAAAAAAGGATTATTGCATTGGTTTGGTAATAATTATATTATTGTGTAAGGGTTTATATTTAGATTCTTTTTTTCAGATTTTAAATGCTTTTATATTGTTCTTTAAAATATTCTTTTAATTTATACCTTTTTCAGATATAAAAGCTTACTTTGGACCATCCAACCATATAGTATAGTACCTCCTTCTCTGACCAATGCTGCCATTAAGGGGTCAATACTTTGCCCTAAAGCTAAACTATCAATTTCCTATAATTAGGAAATTAAGATAAATCAAATAAAATCTACAAGACACGCATGTTAAACAAAAAAAACAGTCTTACCTTTGGATTATTCTACATGAGCATCGCCCTCATTGCTGCCTTGCTGATGCGTTTTCGATTTTTCCTCCTCCTCTTCTGCCGCGGCTGAGGCCTGGGCCCCGCTGGAGCTGAGGGCGGCTGCGTGGTGGTGGTGGTGGTTATCACTGTGAAACAGAGATAGAAAAGATAAGCTTCCTCTTCCCCCTTTGTGTCGGTGAATGTGCCTTAATAAGCCCGTCTTACCTGCTGCATGCGCTGCGGTTGTTTGCACATGGTGGCGGTGGTGTTTCCGCAGCTGACCCTCGGCCTCCCTCTGCCGCTCCTCCTCTTCTCGTTTCAGCTGCTGCACCCGGAGGATCTCCTTCTCTTGGTCCAGCCTTTTGTGGAGAAGTAGCAGCTCCCGTCTCTCCTCCTCTAGCCTGGCCTCCTCGCGCTCTATTAACCTGTCTTTCTGGGGCGTTTCATTGTCTCTGTGTCGCACCAGTGGATCCGGGTTGGGCTCTTTGGTGGGACGTAGCCTCTTCTCGTCCAGTTCCCCGTGAACGCTGAGATTGCCGGGGTTTGAGGTGACCGGCGCGGTGGACGTGCTCGCGTACGTGTCTTGGTGCCACAATGGGCTGAGCGTGTGAGTGCTTGCTTCCAGGCTGGAGCTGGGAATGTCCTGCACTCTCTCCCTCTTGACCTCTGCTGTGGCATTACTGGCCAAGGGGGCAGTCTTGTTGCTGGTGGCGTTGTGCGACCAGTGGGGGGTGAGGTGGAAAGCCTCCCCGGCCTGGGAAGCGTGCTCCTGGGGCAGGCTGGAGCGGTCAGCCGGCGGGGTGAAGCTGTCTCCTCTGGGGCTCCAGCGCTGGTCGATGAGCTCGTGATCCGTGTGCGATCGCTGGTTCTGTTTTAGCTCGTCCCATTGGTGGAGCTCGTCTTTGGAGTGCAGCTTCAACTAAACAAAAGCATTGTTTCATGTCAAAAAAGGGTTGTATTGATCAAATTTAAAAAGCAGTTCCATAAGAAGAAAAGTATTAAGTCCATGGATCATCCAACACTTTTTAAAGAGTCTTCCTACCATCAAATTCCATCTATGAACCAAATTTCCTGCCTACAGACAAACAGACACGCAGAGACAATCTCAACTGGCAAAGTAATAATCAGTGGCATCTACCTCAAGCAAATTTTATAATTTTATTTTTCAGGTTAACACAGGTTGAAATCTGGGACTGGAGTGACTCTGTGGGCAATTTTAAGTTTCCACCCATATTTATTCAAGACATTTGATTCAAACACTATAGTGACTTATACTATAGTATAGTGACTTATACTAATTACAGAATGCTTCTAAATGTGGCTGAGGTCCAGGTATGGCACCATTTTATCTAGAACTGAAAATAGTAATTGTATAATGTGACAGGAGCATAAGCATTTCCTTTAGGGCAAACATAGAACTGTGGGTTGGAAATCCACTCAATTACAACAACAAAATTATTACGCCTGAATTAACAGAAAATGAAAAAATGAATTGCAAATCTGAGAGAAATAAATACATGAACTAAACAAAGAGTCTGAAAGTGCTGGGAAACAACTTTGAGTCTTGTGATTTTCTGACTAATTTCAACAGCATAAATAATTGTTGAGTTACATAGTTGTTAAAAAGTTAATGGAAAAAGAGGAAATTGATAGCTTAAGTATCAAGATCCCATGCAGAGAAACTTTCTGCATGGACCCAGGCCTTTCCAGAATATATACATATTTGGTGTATACCTAATATATTAAGTTACAACTGCAACAAAGCCGTTCAGATGGTTTGATGTTGTGCCCTCACCTGTCCCTGTGCGCTCCCCAGAGTCTGGTTGTGGTTGTGGTGTGTCTCTCTGCTACTGCTGCTGCTGCTGCTGCTACTGCTACTGCTGCTGTGCTGGCGGCGGCTCGTCTTCTTCTTGGGAGGCGGCGGCCGTGGAGCGTTCTGGCAGCGGCACTCCACATGGTCCACCACAGACACCACTGCTTGAGCATATGTGGCCCTTTGGTTTCTAAATTCTATCTTCGTGACCTGTGAAGCCAAATCACAAATGACCACTGTGAAATATATTCATTCACAGCTTTCACGCTTTTGTCTTGAAAACACAATATTAAACATTTGATAAAGTTATGGTTTTGGGGGGGGGATCATGGCTTACAGCAGTAATAATGCAAAGGTCTCATCAGTTTAAATATGTTCTGATAGGGCTGGGCGATATGGCAAACAAGTAGAATCTCGATTTTATTTCCTGCTTTGGACAATTTCGATTTTAAATTGATTTTCATTAAAGTTTGCCCTTAAAAATGTTTTTTGATCTTTCTGCTCAATAAGATTCAAAACCATTTTAATTTTGTTTCCCCCAATACGTATTATAAAAGTCTTGTACAGACTGTGCTGATATTGCAAGTATAATTCATGTGCTGCTGGAACTCACATTCATTCAATTTCCCAATTTTCAAATTTTTCAAATTTTTTCCAAAAGTTGATTAATAGCCTAAATTAGATTTATTGCACAGCCCTTTGTTCTGATGATGAATAATACAAATAGGGAAGAGATAAAGGAAGCTGGACCCAGTGCTGTACCAAACAGTTTGAAAACAACATCTTGTGAATCACAGACAATGAGCTCATTGTTGGTCCTGTCCACTCCTCTGCTGAGAATCCACAACATGTTGTTGATGCTGAGGGTGTGAAAGTGAATGTAAGAAACATGATATGTACTTTATATTTAGGGATTTTAATTGATGTTTCTTTCAATATTATAATGTATTCATGTGCAGTTACTGATGTACAGTTACGGCTATCGCAAATATGTTACAAGAAAAAACGCTGTTCCTTATGAACTACCTTGTTGTTTTACTTTTGTTGAAGAACAATCTTGAAAATTATTCTGATCTTGATTTCCTGACATGTTTCTCATTGTAATTTTATTTCCTATCAATATTTGTATAACTGTATGGATCCATCAATGAAGCCCAATGAATAAAGATATACTTTGGCTTCTTATGATGTATATTGAAAAGAAAACCGTTTGTGTTACAGTACACTTATAATCTGTGGTTTAGATTTATTTATTGATCCAGGGTTTATATGTTATTTTGTAAATAAAATAAAATATAAGGATAAGGTTTGATCAATACAATGCCATCACTCACAGGGAAACTCCACCTTGCCCATGGATCTATAATGATATCTCGAAAGGGTATTACTAGCTTATAGCTGTCCCACTAATGGGCACCAATGGTGCATTTTGGGAGCTCGTCCACTACACAGAACAGGGAGGACCAGACGATGCCCAAATATGGGCGAGTTTTGTTAATCTTTCAGTCCCCATGTATGTCCCATGCGCTACTGAGCACAAGCCAAATGTCCTATGGAGATTAATGAAGTGCAGCATGGTGGCTGTGTTCTAATCCCGGTCGGAACAGGGTCTTTTTGAGTGGAGTTTGCATGTTCTCCCCGTGCCTGCGTAGGTGTCCTCCAGGTACTCCGGTTTCCCCTACCACTAATGCTCACTAGGTTATATCCTCCAGCTCCGGTAGTCCTGACCAAGCCGAGGATCAACATCTGGAGATGGGTTCCCGGGCGCTATACTACGGCGACCACTGCTCCTGACGTGAGCCTTCGCAGCATCAGGATGGGTCAAATGCAGAAAATTGAATTGCCCTACGGGGATTAATAATGTGCACCTTTACCTTTACCATTGATTTAAAAAGGACGCTATCTTGGATCATTGGGGCTTGACCTTGCCTCAGCAACTATCTTAGCAACATGTTAGTTTGCATCTGCCTCTGTTACAAAGCTAATGTCCATATAAGGAAATTGGCTCCACCTAGCTATGCTCAAATCAGCTTCTTCCAAATTCAAAAACACTTTGTGACCTCAATCCATCTCCTAATATACAGTTTATTATTCCAACTCAAAATATATATTCAGGAAACATTCAATTCACCCCAACTTGAGAAGCTGCCAAACTAGGACATGATAGTAGAGAAGGGTTAATATAGTGCAAATGGAAGAAAAATGTTGATTAAAAATAATACACTGTTTCAAATACCCCTTTGCCCCACCTCCTCAAAGTGAGACTGTCTCAAGGGCACCCACAGAGAGAGCGAAGGAGCGTGGACTTCAGCTCTTGTTCCTCTTCAGTGGGAGTATCGTTCCAATATGTGAGGTCATCGTAAAGGAGCAGCAGTGTGGATGAAGAGTTTTTCTTGCTGATGTGGAGCACTTGACATTTAACAACATTTATGGATATCTATTAACATTGATGGACTTCGGCCTGTGTGTTTTTTAACTTTTTTTGTTTGTTTGATCATTGCATTTCCTGTGTTTGAACTGTTTTATTCTCTGTTCTGCGTTGGTGAACTTTGTTTAGTCCTGCAAGATAACCTTCATTCGAGATTACCACTGTTGTGATTCAGGGCTACACTGCAAAAAGTGATGAAAAAAGTCAAAAATTGCTCAAATTTGGCTAAAAGTATCTTAATTTGAGCACAATGCCAATGAGACAAGCACAATTATCTTGTTTTCAAAAGATACAAGAAATGTCATTCATTCATTTCAACCCCTTTCTTTACAATAAATGTCTCCCTTGGAATAACAAAAACAGTTGTTACTTGAAATAAGACTAAATGGCTGTGTCCCATTGGTGAATCTTGTTTTAAGACGGAATGTACTCAAATTAAGATTAAAAACCACTCGATTCAAACATTTATTAGCTCATTTTTTATAAATGTTTGCAGTGCATTAGAAAAAAACTAGATTGACTTGAATTGTGTGGGGACAATGATATAATTGTGTATGGCTCAAAAGAAATCAAATCAAACCTGCAGGTATCGGGTGTGCGTGGCCACGGGCACACACTGCAGGTTCTTGGTGTTGCAGCAGCCAGAGCAGCGCTGCACCTCCACACACGGCGGCCACAGCATGAAGTTGGCGTTGCTGCGATCCAACATGGAGCGGGTCACCTCCACCACCTCCGTGCGCACTTTACACAGGGCCTGCTGCGCTGGCTGGGCATCTGAGGAGCGGAGAGCGTGTGAGTGCAAAGGAATCTCACAGAAAGTATGTGCCAACACGACAGCGGACGCTTCAGAAGCTTTAGATAATCCGTTTGTCAGTGAATGTGTTGCAGTGATAAGGAACAACTCTCAAATGGGATCAGTCATTATTAGCAACAGAAACCCAAGCCTCGGTCTGGTTGCTAGGAGATCAGTGTCTGGCAAATATTATCATTGACTTCAATTTAGGCTGTGATGTCCTCCACAGTGACGTCTTAAATAAATATATACTGTATGTATGATGGCCTTTTAATAGAGACTTAGGCGGATACGCAAACAGAAAATGACTGTGTTTTTATTAGGACTGGACCAAATCCAAAATGATTTAATTATAATAAAGTCTGGTCTACAGTACATTTGCTGATGGAAGTTTACGTGGAAATGCACGATGGGATATGTCACTGTCTGTGTCTGGTGTGCTAGCATTATTATTACAAAACCAAATACAAAATACAAAATAGATAACGGATAAACAGATACAGACAGATGAGAGGAATCCAAACTTACCAAGACTTCTAGGTAGTCTGTGAACTCCCGTGGCTGAAGTTTCCTGCTCTTCATCTGACAAACAAAAATAGAATTAATGAATATATATTTCAAACAAGGTGCCCTAAAAAGACAAAATCTCAACACTGCAGAACTGCCTTTTTTTGGGAAACACTACTGTCTGTATAGATTGCAAGTAAAGTTTACCTAAAAGACTAATGAAACAGTAAAGGAAACATTAAAATCAAAATACAGACACTTTTGTCATCACAGTACGGTACATCTAGTCTCGAAGAGAGTGCAAATAGAGAAAGAAGTTGAGATCTTTGAAAGTCAATGGGATTTCTCTGGTCAGAGGGTTAGCACTAAAACTAAAATGAGAAAGGTGATGTCTTTACCTACGGAGTCAGAGAGCAGCAGCAGGTGGAGGTCATCTATGGAGGAGATGGGGGAATTTCTAACCAGCTCCACCAGCGCTGCAGGAAGAGGGTCCCCCTGGAACACAACCAGCACATTCAGTCTACACATAGTCATATTCATGGAAGATAGAGAAGGAAATGTGTAGTACAGATTCTGTCTTTTTTGACTTAGTTTGAACCTATAGATCCTATATATTCGTTTTCCGTCAAACACATCCATGTAAAAAAATTCCAATTGCAGAACAAATTACGTTTTACCTATGTTATCTTATGTGATTATTGCAGGACTTACTGCAGAAACACATTGATTGGAAAACTAACTCTCTAAAACTAATCTAATTGTTTAAAACGATAGAGGTCAGATTAAAAGTATTGGTCTTTTGCAAGAAGACCATGCAAGAATAGATTGGTTGAAAACACAACAGTACATATCTGCAGTACACATGTTAAATGTTTTGTGGCACTACCTGCAAGCGAAAAGCCTCATCCTATAAGACCACAGAAGCTAAGCATGACAGAGCTTGGATAGTACTGTGATGGGAGACCGTAACATTGGGTGACCCACTGAGGTGGCTGTAAAGTGTTGCACTGTTGTTGTGTGTCCAGAGAGTGAAAGACACATTATTGGTCAGATAACTACCACCGGGCTTTGGCACTATGACCATTATAGATTGGTTGAAAACACCCATTTATAGATTGGTTATTTCAACTAAAAGGTCACTTGGACACGTGACAAACGTAATCATGTGTTTAGGGAAACAACCAAAAACATAATTAATTAGATTTATTTGTGTGAAGTTTTGCCTTTGAAGGAAGAAATATAGAATGTGTTCAAATGCACAGATCAAAAATAAAGATTTTTGTCTTGATTCTTTGACGTTCAATATCTGATACTCAACACGGTCTGCCAGTGAAAGGGCAGAATAAATATTGGTACCGAATATCTTTTCTAATGTAATGTATCCGGCGTTTCAAACATCTTTCTCATGAATTCTATCAAAAAGGCAAACAGTGAATGTCATGAAGAACATTTATGATTTGTGTTTTAGAATAGAACAGAATGAATAGTTTGAAAGTCATCTTTGGCCCATATCACATAAAACAAAATAATATAAAATAAATTGGATTTTGTTGGGTTTTATCTGTTGGGAATGTGATTTTGTTTTTGTCTTTTCTGTTTTATCTTTGCTCAACATTTATGGACATTTAGCATAATTTATGGACATTGGTTTCTGCCCCTTATGCACCAATGGCTTTATGTGTTTCTATCGTGGCATTTCTTGTGTTGAACTGTTTTATTCTCAGATCTGTGCTGGCAAATTCAACGGTTTTGTTAAGTCCTCTGAGAAAACTACAATTGTAAACCACATTGAGACTCAGATCTGCAGTGAAAAGGCGGTATATAAATAAAGATTACTACTATTACTACTACTGTTGTGATTTAGGGCTATACAAGAATCAATTGAATTGAATTACTCTGTGTTTTTCTTTTACTTACATATCTCATGTAACACATGACATGTGCATTTGTCTCTGTTGATTGTCATTGTCCTTAGATAAAAAAACATAAATATCAAATACATTTCCCCTTATCGCCCAGCTATTCAGCGCTGGTATAGCAATATTATAATCATTTTAAATTCCAATTTCATCCGCTCTAAAATCCCAAAACCAACATAGTAATAGCCGTGCACTTGGTAAATCATTCCCCAAAGTGAGCGGCACATTGTGATGGTGGCCGGGGTGTAGGTTTAACCCCCTCGGCCATTATTAGCCAGAGGTCCTTTGGGGGGGTCTGCACTGACGCTGGACACACAATGGTCACTAAAGAGGGGCCTGAATGACTATTGGCGTTGTGTCTTCTCATCTGCTAACATTTAGGGGTCAAAGAAGCCAGGAAGGAGCCAGGAAGTGGGGGAAGGAGTGATACGGAGGAGAGGGACGCATCTAAGGAGCAGGAGTAATGGATGAATAAATGTCAGGCTTGAAAACGGGCAAGGATCAGACTCGGGTCGAAGCGCCGTGGACATGCTTCATTTGGTTTGTCATCGTGTGGCGTCGTCGAGCAGAGCTTCAAAGGAACAATGTGGTCTGAGTGCATAATAATGTATATATATCAGCGTTTGAGCATGTGCAATTATAAAAGGAGGCAATTGTATGTGTTTATTTATTGGTTGTCGCCGCAACATTCGTGGTGGATTAGGATTACATCCAGAAATGAAATTAAAATCCATTTATTTTTGTAAAGCCCAGAAAAGTTGTCTCGAAGGACTTGACAAAGTTTCTCCAAAACCAAATGAGAGAATCAAAGAGTCCGAACACAGGAAAGGAAATAGTAACAAACATATAGGGGCCAATGGTGCGCAGGGAGTGGGGTGACCAATAAATGTCAAAAAATTTCCATAAATATCCTCAAATGTCCTTAGGCCTTCCTGCATCTGCAAGGAACAACTGGGAAAAACACGCTTTAATAAAAGATCAAATCCAAAGTCTTTGTTTGCTCAAGAATAAGGACTCAATTTATGGTCTTATTTTTTGTGTGTTAGCAATTTCAAATGTATTTATAGCCTTTGTTGACCTGAAGGGTGTAGGGGACTACTGATGAAAAATAGCCTCCTTGGCTAATTCTGGCTTTTTTAACCCATGTTTTATCATGTGTTTTATTAAATTCCCCTTTCAAATAAACTAAACTGAAACTGAAACTGAAGGAGATTTCTTATCAATGTTAAATAAAGTAATCATGCAGAAACAGCAGATTATTGACTTATTCTAAGTCAGAATCAAAATCTGACTATTTTTCATTGCCACTGAATAAAACAGCGAGTCCCAAACTAGGACTTTGCTTTGGTGCAAGGTATAAAAAAGTGAAGTATACTTTTATTCATGCTATTGAAACCATCGGCTCAATCTCAGTGGGTACATTTTAACTTTTGTGTATACTAAATAATACATTCTGCTTGTGACAAGAAAGTTCTCTCAAAGTAAAATTGTGAACAAATCGGGCCACAACAGGCTGTCTTTGCATACCTCACTATTGGGCTGAGAGTTGTAATAAATATTTGAATCAAGGTGTTTTATCCTGGTTTGGGTACATTCTGACCGTCTTAAAACAAGAGTTCCCATCAGAACAAAATGTTTGAGCCTTAAGTAAAGTGCTAATGCAATTTAGTTCTCATTCCAAGGAAGATTTTTCTTTTTTAAACAAAATATGTTTGCTTGTCCCATTGGCAAATCTTGTTTTCAACTGTCAAAATGTGCTCAAGTTAAGGTTAAAAAAACACTTGATTCAAACATTTCAGACCTTATTTTTTGTTACTTTTGCAGTGAAATAAATAGATTTGTTTGCATTCACACTTGAACATAAAGCGACTTCTGTTTCAGCTTTTCTCTATGCTTTTCCTCAACACTCCAGCGGTTCCTCCCAGCAGGCGCCACGTCACGGCCATGGAAGCGGCGGCCCGTGCATGTAGCAACGCCCAGTCCATTCTGTCCTCCGGGCCCCAGTGACTTGTCCCATTGTTGGCTTCTTCTCACAGTCAAAGAATAGTCCATCTCTGCTGCCCCCCAGGACTCATCAGGCCCCGCTTCCTTCTTTAGCCCAACGATCCAGCCTCCCTCCTCTTGCGCTCGGGCTAATTGTTAATTATAGGATGTTTACAGTGTGCGCACCAGGGCCTGCTGTCATGGCAGTAGAACGCTATATTTGTGCTATATATTCACACCAATTACCACCAAAGAAAAAGGTTTAGCTTTCTGAGAACTCCCAGATCTAAACCAGGTCTATAACAGGACTAGTCCAGGTCTGATTATGTGGTCTAAATTTGGAGTGCACACATGCCCCACATGTATTTCAGAAGGATTTTTTTCGTATCGATTTAGTATTGAAATATACATAACACACATACATACGCTATATATATATTTACTACTTTCCATGATATTGCTCAAAAACATAACATTTTTAAAATGTAATTTCAGGTTTTTTTAGTACTTAACAATAATATACGGTGGTGCAGTGGTTAGCGCTTGTGCTACACCCCAAAAAGATCCAGGGTTTGATTCCCTCTCTCGATGGGGCCTTTCTTTGTGGAGTTTGCATGTTCTCCCCATGTCTGTGTAGGTTTCCTCAGGGTGCTTCGGTAAGAAGAATTCTCACAACAATTGTAAGGTTCTTTATGACTCTGTCTATGATAGACACAATATAAATAAACATACTGTGCATCTAAATACTCCCTCTCCTTGACAATGACTAGTAAGCTGGAGGAGAATAGTTGAACTAATGATGAATTAGGTTCAACCAATCAGGAGGCTGCAAAGGTGAGTGTGGGCGGGTCTAACCAGTGTGGTGTCTCCAAAAGGCTTCGCTTTCTCTTCATAGTTTGAGTAGTAAAAGTAACTCACTTTATCTTGTCTCAATACTGAAATTTGAGTCAAATCGACAAATATTCTCACACTTCTGAAACAATTGTTGTCATCAATTGAAGAAGGGTAATCATAAAACCTATATTTCCAATAACTGTTCTTTACTAATTGACATTCTGCATTGTGTATTGTGTATATTGTGTTTATTGTGTCTCTTTGTGATTCAGAGTGCTTCATTTTACCTGTTTTTGTCTATGCTAACTAGGCCATTTATCAATTCTTTGCACACTGTAAACCTGCTGTCACTTTGCCTCTGCCCAACAATACATGAACTGTACAAAGTCTCTGTCCAATAGAAAAAGACGTTTATACAAAACAAAATTGTAATTGTTTTAAGATTTTTGGGCAGCACTTGGAATTACAGTGTTCAATCCCATAGGCCATAGGCTTTATTTATATAGCACATTTCACAGGCACAGTTCACACAGTGCATTTTAGATCATTGTGTGTGTATAATGTTGAAAATGTTGTTATCTGTCGTCAGTGGGTGGTGATAGGTGGAAGGTGAAACATTAGCAACAGGCTTCAACTCGTAATCAAATGTGACATATAACATGGACTTTACGTGACTTTTAACGCGGCACAATGTGTTTTCTTGCATGTTGGGCAAACGCTCCTTTCATTTGACTGTAACTGCCGGGTCTGCAGCTGCAT